TTTGGTGGTTTTCCTCATGATTTTGAACAAATTGTTTCTATTTTCTGCTCTTTTCTCTCTCTCTGACCTTTATGTGGTCTTCTGTACTTAGAGTGTAAGTATTCCAACACCTTGAAATATTTCTGGGATGGTACCACAGATTCATTTCTAGATTCTATCAGATTATAATGAATAAAATTCAATGGGTTTTGGTTCATTGGCTGTTCACTTTTATTATGTAACTTATCATCACCCTCAAGATTTGCCTACCTTATTTCTAGTTCAATTTTTGTGAATAATACATTATAATTCTATTATAATTCAGTTCTGATCTCTGTCTTGAATAAAGCAGGAAAGCCAATCTTTTTCAAATGCATTAAGGTTGAATTTGAAGGTCTGTTAAGCCATTATATTCAAATGAAGGCATTTCTAGAGTAATAGCTCAAATAAAACTGAAATGAAAGTTCTCCAAATATGTTTCCAATATCCAGCCCAGTGCAATAAATATTATGCAAGGTGAATGGCTTCTGTCCAAAACTAACATCTCTAATCTTCTGCTAGCCAAAATACACAACACAAAAGTATGCACAGGACGTGCTTGAAGCTTGCATTTGGGGTAAAGCTCAAAGTGTTCCATTCAGCCTTATCAACTGTTGTGCTCGAAAATATAGGGGTAGCTTATAGCACTGTCTACTGTGCCCACTTAAACTGACCACAAAATGTACACATCCTTTTGCTAAAAAAAGAGCAAAGGCTGGAGGTCATGTGTGCAGTAAGTCAAAAAGACGTTATACGTCTTCTCCCTGACCTTTTTAAAGCAATAGGTTAAGATGCATAATGAAAAAGCTCAATATTTCATCATGATTTCAAATAAAACCACGTCTTTTATATTCTGATTATTTCCTAATCTATTTTCCTGCATTAATTGGTATGGTGACAGAACAAACTACAAATCCTAAACCTTGACTCACCACATTCAGGCTTGAAGATTACATGGAACCATCTCCAGTCCTGGAGACCAAGCTTTAGGGCTGGTGGAAAAGTGACATGAAGGCTTTCAGTCAGACTTTTATCACTATTATTGTAATTGTCATCTGAGCTTTTCTCATTAAAAAAAAAAAAGAGTTTGCATAGTAGTTTTCTGTTTTCTGAATCTTCTTTTCAACCAATATGTTTTCATCAAATATTTTGGATTTTTGTTTTGTAGATGACTTAGAAAAAAGAGATTATTTCAACTGAAAACTATTTTTCCATTTAAATGTCTTGTATCAAAAGTCGTTTTTCATCAAACATGACCTGATGGGGAAGAAAAATCAACATGATATATTAAACACAGTAGCTTCTAAGGTGGACATGGGGTTTTCCCACAGGTGTTCTTCATCTCAGTCATGAAAAGTAGCTGCTTGGAGAGGAAAAAAAAGTTTCAGTGAGTGTAAGCTGTGATAACTTTTCCATCTAAATCAATAAAGGTACCAAGGTCTACAAATGGAGGAACTTTCTGTATGCCTCCATGATATATGGCTTAACTCAATACTTGCTGTCTTGAACAGATTTTGGACCAGCCATAATTCAGCACTGAGGTACCAGCTCTAAGCATCATAATAGCAAGATGAAGATGAATTTCTAGATATTTTCTGCCCTCCAGGTTGCCTATCTGTATTAATATAACTGGTATCAAGAAGCTTTATAGATTAGCAGGATACTGCATTTTTATACCCAGACTGTAGGGTTATGTTTATATAAGATGAAGGAGAGAGAAGAATTACTCCCGTAGAATTATTACAGAATTTTTTATTAAGAGAAAGGTTTCTTAATTTGAGTTAGCTAATTAATCCCAAGGCAAAGAGGGAAATTGGTAATTTTCAGATAAGTTAAGTAGTTGAGTTAAACACAACTGGGGAACTCAGAGTGTTATCTTGACTAATGACTTACTAAGTCACATAAAAATAACTGAGATTTTAGGTTGTCGTAGCTAATTTGAGATAAGAATTCACCTATTTTTCTAATGGGATTAGGCCACAGAGAGGATCTGTTTTATTCAGTATAAGTTAGGCTAATTAGAATTAAAAAAAACAACCAAGAAATTCAGCAGAAATGTACTTATTGGACAGCTGCTGTGGAAAGTAATGGTTAAAGAAATGAACAAGCCATTCATAGGGTGTCAGTTCAGACACTTGCAGAGTTGTCAGTTAGAAAACAAATATAGAAAATATTAATTTATCTGTTTCACCATCACTACTGATTAATAGGGATGTTATTAACATATACAACAAGAAAAAAATAAGTTTACCAGTCGAATAAATACATTTTTTCTTTTTCTTTTTTTTTCTTTATATGAACATGTATATTTTACAAAACCCCATAGCACTATGGGAAATAAAGATCCTTCTACAAAAAGAAGATGTAAGTCAGTGTTACAATAAAGCTTTAGAGTTTCAAAATGTATCTGGACAAAGAGACAAAATCAGCTAGAAGGCACTACTGATTCACTGAGAAGGTTCAGTTTGTAAATGTTGTTGTCATAACCTCCAATTCTTTCATAAATTATCTTTCTTCTCTATTCCAAGGGATTGCACATAATACTAATGTGGTCAGGAAGGTTGCAGTAGATTCAGAAGAAAAATAGCTATCGCCACACAGAAAGAAGAAGTTATTGATGGCCATAAAATGCTGGTTGAAGTTGAGCTTGTAGGCTGAGGCTGGGATGGGTGATCTGAACGCGGTCTCTGATCCAGCCGGTTTGAAATCCAAACGGGAGGTTTGACTGTGATGTAACCATTGGTTATCCTGATATAGGAAGGCAATGTGGTGGTGCTAAAAAAAAAAAAAACACAAGAGAAAGAAATTAAAGAAGAAATTCCTTCGTCTCTAGTTTGTGACCTGTCATCCTACATGGCAGTAACAACACCAATGACAAACGTTGTTTATTACTACTTGCATACATTAGACATAGAAGGTAGATCTCCAGGGGCTAGTAAGCGTGATGTTCTGGAAGTAAGGCCTGGTTCAGGAAGTCCTTCAGCTTCTGACTGCTGTAGACTATAACCAAAGGAGGAATCAGTCCTGAAATACTTAATCTCCTATCCTCTTTTCTTAAGCATCCACCACTGGCCAGCATCAGAGACTGGGATACACAGATCTTTGTGCTGATCCAGGATGACCTACTTTTTGTACTCTTAACTACATTCTTGCCACCTCAGAATTTGTCACATCTCTCAGAAAGAAGAGCAACTGCCTGTTCTTATTGAGGTCCTTGGCAAAGGGAACCTACTGAGCTTGCAAGAGCTCAGGAGGGGAGCCTTGGGTGCTGCCTCTGATGACTGGATACAGGTTTGGATAAGGACAGAATGCTAGAGGACCTGAATGGATCCCTAATCTAGCCTCTTGCAGTCTTCCTTGCCATGGACTAGATGTTCAGTCCTGGAGGGGGCCACAAAACATGCACTTCCCCTACTTAGAACCCACAGAGAATTTCCCAGGATCCCCTTACAAAACTCACAACCTTGAGTGCAGAAGACCAATCAATCAGCTTCATTTTTTTTTTCCTGCCTTTAAGATATTTTGAATCAAATCACAATGCCAAAAACGGAGTCAGTGTGAATGTTCCCTGGCTATGGCTTTGGCTTAATAGTGCCTATTGATTGAGGCTTGAGTTTGAATGTGCAGGTAGGAATTCATCCCAACCCTCATGACACTGAAGGTCAAAAAGGTCCATTTACACTTGGTTTGGAAGTTTTAAGTTGTAATCTCCATTTCATAAAATGTTTCCATTGTACTCAGTATTGGATAATCAGTAATCCACCCATTGTCACAGAGCAGCTTAATTGAGCATGTAGCATGTGTAAGGTGGATTTTGGACTTAAAAGCAAGGCATTCTGCTTGAGGGCAAGGAGAAAAATGACAAGCTCCCCTGAAAGCAAAACATGACACTCAGATCTGTAGATTCCCTGTATTACTATTAAAAAAATTCTTCCATAAAGTGGATTTGAGGGCACTGAAAATTATCCTTACATCATTTTTTGTGGGTTAAGAAGCAATGCAGTCCAATAAATATTTAGTTACAGTATTTGAGATCCTGACCTTGGAGGAAAAGGCCTACATCGTGCATAATATCAGATAAAAGGAACAATACCTGGCTCCAGATTCGTGCACAGAAACAGAATTTAGCAGAACTGAATGCTTTTGTCTTTTTCTGTCTAAGCAATAAGAAAATGACATATGGCAGCTGGTAATATTTAAGGTCATAGCTTTTAGTTCAGATGCTACAAAAGCGTAGAGTCAATCATAAATTGTCACAGGCACAAAACATGTGAACAGAGTGGCGTCCATCCAGAAAAGGGTACTGGTAAACACCCATGCAGGTCAACATCATAACCAACAGACAATCATTGTGCAGTAACTTCACCTCAGATTTTGGGATAATTCATTTCACTTCTTCCCTCATCCTTTAGACTGTCACCACATCTTCTGGGTGGTACAGTTGTTCTGTAGTTAGAAGTGATCTTAAATAATGTGCAGTAAATTATAGTAAAAAGAAAAGGCGGTCTTTAGAACTAAAGGCATGGGAATTGCTTCATGGGAGCAGATAATCCATCTGACTAGTATTATGTCTTTGACAATGAGAAGTGGTGCATGTTCCAGGGAAATAAACTGCTGTAAATTGAGAAATCTGAAATCAAGTGATGCCAGAGAAAGTTCTTATCTAAATTCCTATAGTGAGGGCTTGGTTTCGATCTTTAACTGGTAATATAAGATATTGAGCTTTAGAGCTTCTGCTATTGCATCAAGACCTCTGCAGTCACATAATACAAAGAGTTGATCTTGGATAAGCTAAGGCTGCTATTTCAAATTTGTCCAGTTTTTTCGAGCGGTTAATTTAGTGCTGGCAGGAATAATACCAGATTAGTTACTGTCTAGTCAAGCTCCTGTAATATATGGAATATCAAGTATGAACTGCCTTCCCACAGCCAATACAAAGCCATTATTAAAGCATACCTCTGACAAAAACTAGGTACTACATGCTGTGAGTAATTCAATAGAAATGAAGCCATGTGTCCACTTTTGATCCAGATCTGATTTATCCTGTTGAGTGATATGGTAGTGCACAAATCTGGCAATAATGACGGTCATATCGCAACTTGTTTTTATCCTGCACCAGTTTTCCATATGTAAGTGTGGGTAGATGCTTATGTAGCTCTGTAATATTTACTAATGATTACAATTTTTTGCTAACTGCTTTAAAGGCCATGCCTTGCTATACAGATCCACATCTATAATACAGTTGTTACTTTCGAGGGCATATATTAATAAAAATATATCAAAACAATGATCAATAATTTTTATATTAAGTCTGAAACAGGGCTTTTCAAAGTACTCCATGGGAGTTAGGAGCCAAATAGCATGTCTGCAGTATTTGGGTGCTTGAGTCTCCTAAACTTCTGCATCAGAATCACAGAGATTAATAGCACTCAGCTGAGATAAGAGTCAAAGTCCAGTTTTCAGAAATGTTTTAGGCTCAGGTCTCCACTTACAACATCTGTGATTGGAAAAATTTCCTATAGAGCGCTAGGAGCTGATACTGCTAAAAGATAATTCAAAAGGAAGAGAAGATTCCTTCATTTACCAATTTATTTTCAAATGGGTTGGCTCCTCAATCTAGTTCATAATGCAACTGCTCAGTGTAGACACATCCAGTGCATATGGACCCAGGACCATAACACTGTCAACTGGTTTTGCCACTTGGTGCTATCAAACCACAGCCTGAGATTTTCAGAAGCCTGTATATCAGGGAGACAAACTCCTACATATCCAAAAGCTAGATTTTTAAATATATGGAGGTGCTTTAAGAAGTTACATACATAGGTGTTTTTGTGTTCTTGTGACCTCTATGTGAATATTTGCCACTTTACAGAACTACACAATTTAGCCCTAAATTAAAGTTTAAACTGCAAGGAGGGTCTGGTTTTCAATTTCAGTTTAAAAAAATGTTGCCAAAATGCCCTGTAGGTCTTGCAGTTTGGATGTATCCTGCTCCTGACTCATTCTATGGGCTTGGTCCTCCAGTGAAACTAAAATATCCACTGCACAGCAAACTGTCCTTTTTTGCACCTCCCGGAGGTATTGTGTGAGATGTTCAACAGGCGATGAAGTCTGGCTGGGGAATGCATAAAAGGAGCATGAGGCCATTCATCAGCCAGTTACCTCTAAGGGATTCCAAAAGCAGCCCTAAATCAACACTTTACATTTCTGTATGATGTGTTTCCACTTTCTAGTCAACTGCCAGGAGGATTTTGTTGCTTTGTATTGATTTTTTTCTCCCTTGGAAAAGACATTTTTTTGAAAAAGAAAACAATTTACTTAAATTCCAGGGTTTCCTATCGACAAAAATGAGAAATTCTGACCACTCTTCTCCTCAGTCTGTGAGGTTATTTTGTGTTTTCATCCCAAAACATTACATTTCTATAAATGCTTCTTTGTTAAGGTAAATATTGTTGGGGGGGGAGGGTTGTTTGTTTTGAAAAAATCTTGAAGTGCTTTATGAGAGAAGAACAGTGTATTTCTATTAATGTACTCAAGGCATGCTAATAGCAAATCAATCATATTTTGTCCATATAATGAATTTTCTTAAATGTAACTCTTACTTCTAGCACTTTAGCCTACTGCCAAGGCAGTTAGAAATATCTGAAGAGAATGATCTCTTTTACCAAATGCTACAAATTCAGTGTAAAAACTTTGGTCCAAGTTTGTAGCTAGGCTTTTCCTGCAGTGAATGGGGAGAGAAACTTCTCCAGAAGGTGGTTCATCTCATTCCAGCATAGGTATCTAAGTTGGTACTTACTGTCTCTGGGTGTCTTTTCCTTCCTACTGATTACAGAGGGAGCCTAGATAGCCAGCTACATTACAGTCTGATCTTACAGGTGGCCCAGATGAGAGGAGAGGACGTCCCTAAACTACCTCCAAGTGTGATTGCATAGGGACATAGGATCTCGCTGACCCTCAGACTTTCCCTAAGCCTGAAAGCAGAAGCAGAGTCCCCTGAACTCAACCAGAAACTTTCCATTGTCCTTAGGAAAGTTTTGGTCATTCCTGAAATGTACACAAATAATAACAAAAATGAATCACAGATCTCAGGGATAACAATCTCAATTATTATCATGCCTCCTCTTGCCAGCCCAGGATATTTCATGTTTGAGTCTTTTGTGTCTGATAAAAATACCTTTTAAAAAAAAAATTCCACATAATTTGTGATGAACAGGCAACCACTGGCTCCAATGCCTATTCTTTGCTTCTGTGTATGGGATTGCTTTAAACATTTGGAAGACTTCACGTATCTTTTAGCCAAATGACCTGCAGTATCATATTCATGAGCTTGTACTTTTGATCAGATAATAGGGCAGTTTTTCAAATCAGTGCATTAGTCATACATTGTCTTACCATCATTAGAACTTGTAAAACTCTCCCAAAAAACAGGGCCCCAGGCACATGCTTTGTGAACAGACCCTACCAACTCCAACTACGTGATGCAATTCCTCTACCCTGGGGGCACACTGAAGTACCTTGATGAATAGGGAGCATTTTAAAATTGAAAAATAAAACAATCACACTTGCAGTCCTTTGGAGGAATGCTGTTCTGATTTAGCTTGTGAGGACTTTGCAAGGAGTTTGCAAATAATTTTTGCTGTGACTCAGTTTATCCTTATAAGCAGGGGCACATTTGACCACATGTGACACCATGGCAGAATCACAGAAGATAAAGCCAGGAGGGACTTTCCAGCCCATCTATCCCAAAGACAGGAACAAGATCTAAACCCTTG